CAATTGTCTAAATCAAAGAGAAGTTGGAGCTCACGGCATTTGCATGATTTATTATAGCTACGGGAACAATATCAGTGTTTGTCTGGAGACAGGGAATTGTTAGTATTGTACTTGTGTAAGTAAAGAGAATCTTGTTAACTCTATTGAACACATTCTTTTTCTTAGTGCCCATTAGGTTAATGTAGCTTAGCAAATACCCACACACGGCCGTTGGTCACAGAATTTCCCTGGTGTTTTCAATCCTCTCCATGAACATATATCGGAAATCTGATTTTCTGGACTCAGGTCTTCTAAATGTCAGGTCCATCCCAATGGTAAATTAAAATCTTAGAAAAAACATTTTCTCTCACACAGTGCAGAAGTTAATGGTCTTGCAGCAAAGGCCAATACTCTATTTTTTTTTCTAGGAAAAAATCCTTTTCCTCCAGAAGTGAATAACATTGATTAAGACCATAGCTTTGGTGTTTGGGTTTCAGTCCTCTTTCTAAAGAGGAATCACGACCAAGTTCAACCTCTCCAAAGCTTCATTTTCTTGTGTGAAAAACAAGGTAAGCATAGCTGTCTCATAATGATCATCTGGATATTAAATCCAATAATTTATGTAGAGCGCTTGGCTCAGTGCTAGGCACAAAATTAGTGCTGAGTAAATGGTATCTATAATCAGATGAGTTTCTGCACAAATTCATTTGGCAATTCCATGATGACTGAATTTATGAATAAAGTGCTTTCCTAAATTAGTAACATCTGAACACCTTTTAAAAATAAATACCATTTCATTGCACTTAATGCTGTATAGAAAAAAAACAAAGGCTGAACATCAGGGCTAGCTTGATGTCCTAAAAGGAACATTATTAAAAATCAGATCAACTAATAGATGAGCTACACAAACAATTCAGAGGATTCACTGCTCCATAACTTACATCTGCAGACCATATTTATGCATGTATGTTATTCTAGTGAAAACTATAGAGTATCTATTATGACACTACCAGGCACTGCAGATAATGTTACTAGTAGCTGTCATTATATGTATCCGGCATCATGCTTAAGGATATTCATTCATTATTTTGTTTAATTGCCACCCCAACCTGCTGAGATGGGTCTGTCTGACTTGAGAGCCCAAACCTTAATCATTATACCTCACTAATTATCCTTTCCACTAACCAGCTGTCTGGGCTGCCATGGCGGCAAATAAGCATGGGTATCTGGAGGCTCGGGAACATCTTGAATAAAGGAAAGTGAGCACCATAACTTTGAAACATTCATACTCTCTCAGATAATTTCCAGCCTAAGAACCCTATTGGGAATCCCAAGCCCATGTTTCTTTACTCCACACACCCAGGCTCCCTAGTCTGGTTGAGTCATCTAAGTCCAAGTACCTCTGAGGGCTGGAGCCAGCATTCTCCCCATTCCTGAGAGTATGGTCCTCTTGAATTTGTATTCAGAGTGTTCTGCTCCTTGACTCGCTTCAGTTGTCTTGGATCAATCTCAGCTTTGAGACACACCATTCCTTTTTCACCTAGAACCTAGTTTGGGGTATCCAGTTATTTTACCTTCCTTACCTACTATTCCATTTCTAGCTAGTACTCAGGTTAGTGTCTACATTTTGATTTGACCTAACTCTTGGCCATCCTTTCAGGTAAAATAGAATCTTATTCAGTGTCTCCGTTCTTCTCTAAGCAACAAAGGTTGATCTATGAAGCATCAAGAGAAAAGGAATTATGAAAAAGGAAAGTTTTTGATGTTATACACTGTGCTTTGAGTAGTATTTTCTATAAAATTACTTTCCTCTCTCTTCTTCCCACTCCAGGCCATAAAATGCGAGGTTAAGGAGCAAAACTTGCTTTCACTCTGAGTTCTTAACTCCAGCTAACCGACAAAATCAGACATCTGAAGAATTTCAGATTTCCTGATGTTTGCTTCCTGCACTTTATCCTTGTATTTTTTTTTTCCTTTTCTTTTAGTAAACTTGCCTCTAAAAATTGACCTTCAGAACATTCTCTTTCATAAAGCCTATTTCTGCATCAACCTGTGGGCCCTATTCTGGTCTTTGATTTAGCTCAAATTTCAGTGTATTAATGTATACAGTCAGTCTCCCTACTATATTCACATTAACCCGTAGAACAAGGAGTACTTAGAAATAGCACATATCAAGCTTTACTGAGTTTCAAAAGATTTTCTGAAGAATATGACCTTTTAGTAACTAAATTCTTTCATACATGTGCCAGTAGCCATATGAAGTACTTTAAGCAAAGTGCTCTTTCTTCTCAAGCACCATAGGGGCTGAGCTCTCAGAATGTTAACAAATTATGACACTTCGAATAAAGATGTTGAATTGAAAATATGATGAGCTGATTCTTTAAGTATAATGTTTTATGCAAATATGCAAAGAGCTCCTAACTTATGTGTTTTCATTTTGAAAATCAGTTGTTCCTAATAGCCAAGTAGTAACCACCTACCCCAATAATAAAGTGAAAATTCTCTGCAATGGCTCCGTTTCCAGATAGGTTTCCTGGCAGTGTACTTTTCTCAACCCTTGCTCACACATGATCCCTCTGGAGCAAGAAGATAAAAAAGGTTGCCTTCCTAAAGATTATCTGAGATTTTAATATGGGCTCAGTAACTATTTTCCAGAGTGTCTCGTGACACACGTTCCTGATATTCCAGCATTCCAGCCAACAATAGTAGGATTATAGAATGTACCCCTGAGACCTCATTGAAAACCTGAGAAACACAGAGGCAAGGAGGCAAAGATAAAGTCACTTATTCAAAATGGCACATTAAATGGAAGAAATACAATTAAAATCCAAGTCTCCTAAACCTTTAAGGCAGTGGTTCTCAACCTTGGCTGCACATTAGAATCACCTGGGAATCTTTTTAAAATCCTCATTTCTGGGCCTCATCCTCTGGAAATTCTGTTTCTTTGTTACTAATGTTGTGGCCTCACCCCATAACAAAGAAACAGAATTCCTGGAGGATGAGGCCCAGAAATCAAGATTTTAAAAAGATTCCCAGGTGCAGCCAAGGTTGAGAACCACTGCCTTAAGGTATTCTGCAATTAAAGGCAACTGCTGTAATTATCTAAATCATTGTGAATAAATAGATTAATTTATTAAATAAACATGTGTGCTTCATATTCTTCATGAATACAAACTCAGGCTTGACCAGTAGAGTATGATGGAAACAGCATTATGCCATTTCTCAACCTATTCTAAGAGGACTGGCAGCTTCTGCTTTGCCATCTGGGCACCCTGACCAACAGTGAAAGAAGTCCTACTATCCTGACACCTCCGTGTGATAAGAAATCCAAGCTACATGTAAAAGTTCTGTGTTGACACTGTTTAAGAGCCCCAACTGAGGCCTCAGCCAATAGTTAGCTTCAACGGCCACTCATGTGTGTCATCATCTTTGAGGTCCAGTTCATTTGATCCTTCATGTGACTAAAGATCCGGCCACTATTTGCATAAGAAGACCCAAGGAAAATCCATATAAACCCAGTCAACTCACAGAACTATGTAAAATAATAATAAATTGTTATTTTAATCTCCTAACTTTGAAATAGCTCTTGTACTGAAGAGTCAGTAATGAAGGGACCACTGAAAGGTTTTAAACAGGAGAGTGAGAATAATTCAGTTCTTAACTGAACATTTTGAAGAGGGAGGCCCCTAGGAATCAGATTATTTAACAAGCAGGAGATAAACACTTTGACCCCTACTCCCACCCACATTCAAGTTTATTCGAAGTTTGAGAGCTACTGAATGGAACCCAGTGACGCTCCTCCTCCCACATACAAATGGTATGTTTTACATAGATTCAGAAGGTATGTTTCTAGGAGACAGAGGAAAGAAAATACCAAAATGCTTACACAGAACTTCTGAACCATGACTGATAAAGGTACCAGGTTCCAGCTCTGGTAGCAAGCTATGAAGATAGCACCAATGATCCCTGTTTCTCCGTATTCACACTCTTATACTGTGTCATTCCATGCTATTTCAGATAGGCTGACCCATATGATATGATACTGCAGAAATGGCCATGGGCATCCTGTGAGGCTAAGTTAAATGGCATTGCCAATTTTGCCTTGCTTTTTTGAGCCACTCATGCTGGTCAAATTTGCTATCCCCATATCTGTATTACTTTATAGTAAAAAGCCTTCTGTATTGTCAAAAAATTCTTAACCTCATTGTTTTTCTTCAGAAATTTGTTGACTATCTGTGGTCTTTTCTTGTTCTCTCTGAATATTTAAATTAGTTTATGAATTTATCAAGAAAACCTTATTTGTATTTTAATTGCACTTCCATATGCAGAAAAAATAAGACATATCTATACAAATGCTAAGAGGAGCGAGTACTTGGCAGATGGCTAAAAAATACACTATTGACATTTTCCTTATCTACCCAATGACACATTTCTAAACCACGTAACCTCGGAATTTGTGTCAAGGGCTGCCTTCATTCCCAGAAGTTTTGCAGAACAAGAAATCCAGGCATAGGATGATAAAATCCAAACCTCACCTGTTCCTAAGGAAAGTGCTGGCCATTGCCAGGAAGGGGCTGTAACCCATGGCATAAATGTCCTTGAACCAAATGCCAAGCCCTTTCCCGCTATCCCTGTCCTGGATTCCAGTTATTCCTTCCAGGGCCCCACCCTCAGATCCGCTTATAAAAGCCTAGTCCTTTCTGGCTTGACCAACCATCACAGATACCTGCAAAACAGGTAAGTGGGAGCTGAGAGGTGAGAGCCATGGCAGGGGTTCACCTCACACATTTGGGGAAAGGCTATCGGAGGATTCTAGGCTTCAACAAACATTGATCTCAAGGGAAGTAGGGTGTATAGACTCCCAATTATTTCCAGAATCATATGGGGAATGATGTCTTCAAGTTCAATTTACTCATAGGGAACTAACCAAAAGAAAGACAAGATGGAGAACAGAGGGGTCTCTGAATACCCTTTCTCTGATCATACCTCATTAATGATCTCTGATGGCTTCTTCAAGTTAGAGACACGATGCTGCCTCCCATGGCCCTGCCCAGAATGTCCTGGATGCTGCTCTCCTGCCTGATGCTCCTATCTCAGGTGCAAGGTGAGCTTTCTCTGCCTGTAGCACTGGGTTCCCTGTGAACGCTCAGAACTGAGAAGTCCAGGAAGCCTCCTGTTTGACCCATGTGGCAATGGTGAGGTATAGCCTCACCAAGTGAAACATGTTTGCAATTCCTCCATCATCATTCCTTCCCTCAGGGCAACTCAGGGTGGGAAGGACCAACACATGGTCCTTTAACAATGGAGGAAAATGGTTTTCATTTTGTGGGCGGACTTTAATTTATATTGACAGGTGAAGAGGAAGCATGAAGGGTAGTGGTGAGATACGCACAAGAATGACTGGAGGACCCAGTGTGAGAACAGTCAGCTCAGAGCAGGGGAAGTGTTGGACTTTCGAATAAAGGGGAAGAGTAGAACAGAAAGAGATGGTCCTTCATTTAGTGAGGCTGGTTCAAGATCAAGCTATCCACTGGTGAGGTAGTCAGGAGTTGGTGTCACTTCCCTGAGCAGTTGCCTCACAGATACTCCCCACGGTCACTTCCCAACACCCATTACACTCTTCATTTCACTCCATATCTCTCCTGTATTCCCTTCCACCCCAGGTGAAGATACCAAGGAGGAGTCTCTTCCAAAGATCAGCTGTCCCAAAGGCTCTTATGCCTTTCGCTCCCACTGCTATGCCTTGTTTAGGACAGCAAAAACCTGGCCTGATGCAAATGTGAGTAGATGCATTAATAGTAAGAGGTGATAAGGGAAAGTGCATTAGATGGGACAAGGGTTTGCATTCTCCAGAGATTCTTGGGGGTGAGAGTGACCACCCTCGTCTTTTGCACAGACACCTCTTCTCGCCGACATTCTCCCTGCACTTCCCCCACTGACATCTCAAGCTTCTCCTCAGTGTCTTCCTTCCCCACACAGTTGGCCTGCCAGAAGCGATCTGACGGATTTCTCGCATCTGTGCTCAGTGGAGCTGAGTCATCCTTCTTGGCCTCTCTGGTCAAGAACAATTTGAACACCTGCGATTACATCTGGATTGGGCTCCATGATCCCACAGAGGTGCGATAACATCTCCTATCTGTTAGCTTTCTAGCTGCCATTGTTGCCCAGGCCTCCTCCCTGTCCCATGTGCCTCTACGGGAATCTGAGCCCTGGAGCTCAGAGATTCTAGGGCTTATTTGGGGTCAAGGTAGGGCATTGAGCTGAGGTTTGTTGAGGATCCTAATTTCCAGTTGAAATTAATCTATCTCTTATGAAGCTTTTTACAACATTGACAAATGAAACCTTGTAATTCAGTTCTCTGAGTTTACTGAGTCTACACATAGTGTCCCGACGGAATCCTAAATGAAAATAAGATGTACTTCCCCCTATAGAATAGACATTATCTTTGAGGTTCAAAGGGTGATCACAAATGCACCAATTATTGTCCAGCTAATAACGTGTTACTCTCAGTGGAACCTTTGGTGTTTGTGATTACTGGCTTTGGGATTTTCCAATAGAAGCAAGTTCTTAGGAGGAATTTCCCAGTGGAGAGAGCTCTGTAGCAACACCTGGAATAGCAGACCAAATGCAAGCCTGCTGAGGAGGGGATCAAACCTCCACCAGAAAGGGCTATGCAAAAATTCCAAAAGCCATTCAACCTTACCTGGCTCCATTCTCTACCCTCCAGGGCCTGGAGCCCAATGCAGATGGATGGGAGTGGAGTAATAAAGATGTAATGAATTACTTTGCCTGGGAGAAAGTCCCCGCCAGCATCCCAACCTCTGGCCATTGTGGGAGTCTGTCGCGAAACTCAGGTAAGAGACAGAGAAGCTCCCTTCTTGCCAACCTTTCTATCCCTTCATCTGTGTCTGAACTTCAGGGAATCCTCCTCAGCTAGGAAAGGAAATGTTGGTTTGTCTTCTCCCATCTCCTCTCATCTCTCCTTCCTTTGAGTCTCCTTACCCTGGAGTGGGTCCCTGGTGACAATGAGGGCAGAGCTTTGAACCCTAGGCCAGAGTCTGGGATGCCTCTCCTTTGGGTCACAAGCTCCACCAGCCCCATTCACTTTATCTCTTATCTCTCTCCAGGATATCTGTTTTGGAAAGATTATAACTGTAATGAGAAGTTACCCTATGTCTGTAAGTTCAAGGGTTAAATCACGTGGGAGTCAGCAGCCTGCGTTGGGATGCAGCTCATCGTGGGATCAAGTGAAGACCCACCCCGGAAAGGAATATTTTCCCCACATCCTCAAGCCTGACCTCTTCTTTGTTTACCTTCCCTCCTCCTCCCCTTAATTTCAAGCTTTTAATGCCCAATAGCCTGAGGTCTCAGAGAGTAACAATAAATGTTTTACTTAATATTTGTGTGCTTTTGTGTTTCAATCTCATAGCAAGACTGAGGAATTATTGGGTGTGAGGAAAAATCTAGGTGTTGCCTTTCTTTCGTTTCATTTGGGCCCTTGGGACAATGATTAATGTATATCCCCACGGTGTACTTGTGATGAGTATGGAGGCACTGCTCACATAGGATTTATGTTGTGTGCAGATAAATCATTGGGGTCCACACACTCTGCTGCGCCTTCCTCCCGATGGTGTGACACCAGCAGCATTGGTGGGGTTACTGTTAGCCTCTAATGCTATTATATCAGCACTTCTGAAATTACTTGCTAGGGGGCTGTTTTGTTTGTTTTTTTCTTTAATTTGCAATCTACCTTGGACCATAACTTTTATAAAATACAGTAAAGTATTAATCACTTCAACTCTGGTAACAGTGCTAAAATGTAGAGATCATTAAAAGTTGTTACTCTTTCTTAAAACAAGAAAAAGTCTGAACTATTTGAAAACCAAGAACTTTTCCTGGGCTCATCACCCTGATGCCTGTAGAAGCTCCAGAGTACAGGGCCCTTCTAATTTCTGATGGGAGCAGGAGCTGCTGGAGCCTTGAGCTCCTAGGAACATTACATGGTAACTAGAGGCCCGATGCACAAAATTCATGCAAGAGTAGGCTTCCCCCAGCTGCTGGCACCAGCTTCCCTCTGGCACCCAGGACCCCAGCATCCCTCACAGCTCCGGCTTTGTCGGGAAGGTTGTCCAGTCTAATTAGCATATTATACATTTATTATTATAGATTGTGACACATTGTGGGATGCTGAGTGTGGACTGGGGTTTGAGAGTGAGAAACTTCAGGAGGCTGCAGTCTTAGGGAGGGTGCCACTCCTCCATGGGTTTTACTTCTGGAACCCCACCAGGTTCTTGTGATGAAGAGAAAAGTAACCATTTTGAAATCTGCCCAGATAAAGATGCCCCAGGAAAAGAAAACTGCAGGTTAATGTCCCTGATAATTACAGTAGTAAGGATCCTCAACAAAATGTTTGCCAGCTGATTTCAACAGAGCATTAAAAGGGGAGTACATTATGAACTCAAAAGATTAACTCTATCCTCAATGAACATGTTCATTTTCAAGAGAAAATCTGAGTATTCTAGCTAGAACCGGGTATTCACCCCAGTCCCATTCAATCAGCGGGGGTAAGGAATATTAGAAGTCACATGGTTGTATTATGGGAGCTACACTAACCTCCTGAGTAGGACCTGAGGATGAGACCCAGTTCTTAGAGAGGGGGGCAGGAAGGCACCCTAACAGAATTTCACTGCAGTAAACAAGCCTTAACTGCCTCATTCGGACCCTGGCTTGTTTTCTGACCTAGACGCTCTTCCTCGGATACTGCCATGTTGCCCAGGTACCATATGTGCTTCTGACCTTGCACTGTCGTGTGCGGACTTCCAGGAGCTGTCCCGCTGGCTATTGCGCTCACCCCTTTCATAGCATGTGCACTCTTCAGCTGTTTTGAGAACTATGTGTTTAGCCTGTTGTTATTCTGCCAGTCCCTGTGAGCCAATGCACTAGGCAAAAATGTTTCCTGAATTGGATCAGCACATCCCCACAAACTCCTGGCCCTCTGGTGTCATTGACTTTACCCTCCTTCTAGACTTTGGGGGACAACCATTTAGCAATAGCAGGTGCAAAAAGCATCTGGGTAAGAGGTGAACGGAGGGACCCTATTTCCGAATGTCCTGCCTGTCACTTGGTGATTCACCCCTTTTAGCTTGAACAGAGTTCTTCTGTCTTGACCTCCAAATTTCCTACCAAGAAAACAAGTTTTGTCCATTCATCCGCCAAGGTTTTTATTTTTATTTTTTATTTTTATTTTTTTCTGTTCATCAGATTATTTATTCACTTCATTCTTAGATTCACTTGTTGATAGATGTGTATTTGTTGTTCATAATTTGTATCTTTACCTTTTTCTTCTTCTTCCTCTTCTTAAAGGATACCTTTCAGCATTTCAAATAATGCTGGTTTGGTGGTGATGAACTTCTTTAGCTTTTCCTTATCTGTGAAGCTCTTTATCTGACCTTCAATTCTGAATGATAGCTTTGCTGGATAAAGTAATCTTGGTTGTAGGTTCTTGGCATTCATCACTTTGAATATTTCTTGCCACTCCCTTCTGGCCTGCAAAGTTTCTGTTGAGAAATCAGCTGACAGTCGTATGGGTATTCCCTTGTAGGTAACTGAGTTTCTTTCTCTTGCTGCTTTTGAGATTCTCTCTTTGTCTTTTGCTCTTGGCATTTTAATTATGATGTGTCTTGGTGTGGTCCTCTTTGGATTCCTTTTGTTTTGGGTTCTCTGTGCTTCCTGGAGTTGTAAGTCTATTTCTTTCACCAGGAAGGGGAAGTTTTCTGTCATTATTTCTACAAATAGGTTTTCAATATCTTGCTCTCTCTCATCTTCTGGCACCCCTATAATTCGGATGTTGGTACTCTTGAAGCTGTCCCAGAGGCTCCTTACACTATCTTCGTATTTTTGGATTCTTTTTCATTTTGCTTTTCTGGTTGGGTGTTTTTTGCTTCTTCGCATTTCAAATCTTTGCCTTGATTCTTGCTCTCCTCTGGTCTGCTGTTGGGAGTCTGTATAATATTCTTTATTTCAGTCAGTGTATGCTTAATTTCTAGTTGGTTCTTTATCACAACATCGAGGGTCTCATTAGATTTCTTGTAGATCTCAATAAGTTTATCGGCAGCTTCTAGACAGTTCTTGAGAGACCTTAAAGGTGTGGTTCTGAACTCAATATCCTCCATTGAAAATTTTGTCCTGTTTCTTTGTCTCCACATTTTTTATGCTTTCTTGGTGCACCCCCTAGTGGCCTTTGTGCACAGTCTTGTTGTAGTTAAGCCTTGATTGTTGTAGTTAATACTAGGGGGATTTGACCTCCAGGCCAACTGGCTGTGAGAATCAGCTGTGTCTGCAGTGGGAAAACTTCTGTCCTCTGGGGAGTTGCTAATCTAGTCTTTGCCTGAGGCTATCTGGCAAATGGCTCTGCACAGGGCTTGGGCGGGGCTGGTAGCAAGGGATCAACAGGGCGGGTAGAGGGAGCAGTTATGGCTGCTCTCAGTCCTGTCCCCAGAGGCTCTGCCTCTCAGAGTCCCAGCAACTTCTGCAAACCTTAGAGAGAAAGCTGCCTTCGAGTTCCGACCAAAGCCAGACAGTTCCACTTCTCCCGTTTGAGTCTGGGTCCCTAGAGACTCGCCCAGAACTGGAGCTCAGAATCTGAGACTCCCTCCGGATTGAAAATGACAACAGCGCCCTCAGCCACCAGCCCGCTCAGCGCGCACCTCCTCACCTTTGTATTTTCCACACTGTGCCTCCTCTGAGTCTCGGTATGCTATTCTCTTTCCTTCTAGTTGAAGAATTTCCCCTCAGACAGCCTTCCTGTGGTTCTGGGCAATGTCCGTTCCGTCTTTTAGTTGTATTTTTGAAGTGGTTGTTCGAGGCAGCAAACTCCAGTGTTTACCTATGCCGCCATCTTGGTTTCCTCCCTCCTAGGTTTTCAAAGTGCACCTCCAGGGGTCACTGCACACCAGCTACTCAGATCTCTGCTGCAACTTATTGTGCATTTGGCACTTGGATTTATTTGTGGATTTCTTCCTCCATTTAAAGCAGAATTACCCAAAATCTCATTCCTTGGAATACTCATTTCATGAGCTATTCATAGGCTGTTTAATTTTTTTGCTTATGTATACTTTGGGAATACTCATTCAATAGTTAAATTAAGAAAACACTAAATTATGCAAAGTGAAGCAGGCTTCCTTACTGCAGGGATTTTCCAAGTCTTTGTAAGCAAATGTATGAAAATAAAAGAAAGGAATAGGGTGGGCAGCTTATCAGGCATTTGGTTAAAGGTGTGTGTGTGTGTGTGTGTGTGTGTGTGTGTGTGTGTGTGTGTGTGTGTCTATTTGGGAGAAATGCCTATTAATAGATTGCAAGATAAATTCAATTTTAATAGTAGTCTAATGTGTTGCAAATTACTGGTGTTTGAAATTATTAAATCCACTTAGTGGTTAAACTAATATAAATGAAAGGAGACTGGAATAGAAAAGTCCACAGCATATTGCACAGACAGAAAATACTGTTTTTGAAACTTGTATTTTAGTTATATATGTATATGTGAACAGAGTTGAGATTTAAAATATAGTTTTTATTATAAATAGCAGTCCAAGTTTTGAATGACACTAGTCTAAAGCAGTGATTTTCAACCTGTGTACCATAGCACATTGGTGTGCTGCAAGAATTTTTAAAACATATAAAACCTGACTATTTAGTCAGGGGCACTGACCTCTTTTCCCTTAGAATGTCAAATAAGAAAATGACAACAGCCAACACAATGATAGCTGTCCAGTGTGAATGAATCAAAATTATGCCTATTTTTTTAGATCAACAAAAAATATCACATAGTTTTGGTGTACCACAGAATTTTAGGAATGAGTTTCTGTGTGCCATGAGATGAAAAAGGTTGATAATCCCTGGCCTTTAGCTTTTAGGTAACTGTGGGAAGATTAAACAAGTGGCCACTAGAGGGAGAGTTGGCCCAGCCTAGAGTGTAGCACTAGGAAAAATTAGAAGCATGAGCTGGCTGCTTCTAAAAACAGAAATTGTTGGAAAAATACATTAGGAAAAAGTTTAATCTATTCCTACATCCTCTAAGATTAAATATCTGCTACAGTAGCACATACCAGAAAACAGAGGAGCAAATCTTGCGAGTGAAAATACACAGTATGTAACAGAGAGGTCTCCATCCCATCGTTCATCTGTGTCCTTAACTAACTGGAGAGCCAGGAGTGTGTGGTGCAGGAGGGCTTGCCCAGGGATACATCAGAGAGACCTAGAATCCCAGGGCTCCTTATGTCTTCAGAAACCACGTCCTGTGAGAGTCATTTGTCTTTTTTCTCCTCTTGGCTACAAAGAATGAGAATGCTTCCTA